CAAAATTTTGAAAAGGCATAGTACTGGTCAAGGTGGTACCTGAACATTTGCATCACTTCAGAGCCTGTTAGCTGAATATATCGGAACATTTCTTTGAGAGACTGCACAATTTAAGGACAAAGTATAAAACAGTAGTTATAAGGGCTTCCTTCGCACAGTCTTTAGCATATTGGCGTAGCAAAATTTTGTCAATATACTAGTGAACCAGGGGACCTTGTGTGTTGCATGCGGAGGAGCGCATCAGATTCACAGTCTGCATTTTACTCAATGCACTTGGACAGTGGAAGTACTCCCAACTTTTGATTTGAAAAAAAAACAGCAGTGCACAAATCAGTTTCCCTGATGTTTTCAGGACTAAATGATCCAACATCATCCCCGCTAAAAACCTCTTCTCGTAGGTGTTCTGAGTTCAACCCGTCCCCACTTTTTCTCACTTCCTATTCTAACACCTCAGAGTTCCATGTCGGAACCACGTCGCGACTGAAACAAACCTCGGGCTTTTCTCCGGTCTTGGTCAAATCACCCACATGCCTCCTCCAGAACTTTTCCAAAGGCGTTGAGTTCCACAGTGCTCATTCTTTCTCCTGTCCAAACTGCGGTAGCCAATGTACACCAAAATGCATTCCGCAGATCCAACGTCCAGGACTAGAGTTCCTCTCAACAAAATTATCCCGCAGGTGCCCAATCACACAGCCCCATTCTTTCTCGCACTCTCCCTCTTACTACCTCTTTCCACGTTGGAGCCCACCATTGTCGGTGGATTTTCTGGCCAGAGTGAACTTCACCCCTCCATAACTTTTTAGGGAGCGCTGAGTTCCACGGTGCCATTCTCTTCCCACCCAAAGCTGCTGTAGGCTATGCGTGCAGAAGCACCAAATTCTACTCTCAATCTTTTCATGGCAGGGGTGCCCAATGTTCATCTTCCCATCCCGTGTCAAAGTTCTTCCCCACACCCCCAGAAATCTCCCTAAGGGCCGCATGCACTAACCTCGCCGCTGGGGAGGGGATCGCAGCTTGAAAGAAAGCTTTATATTTCGAAACTCCAGATACCTGGATTTCACGTTGTGTACCTATCCTAAGTATTCCTACTACCCTTCACTATGAACATGTTGAACAGGAGCGAGAAGCTGTACGAACCGCATTTTCCGGCTTTTGTACGATCCCTGATGATCCCCGACGCTTTTCTTTAAAGTTATTTTTCTTTCTCCGAAGTTAACGAAAACCTTCCAAAGTTCTACTGAACATCTAACACAACAGAGCTAAGCATGCTGCTGATGAGAACAAATGAGTTTTTGAAAATTCGACTTTTTCGCTAAACCTCAAATTTCGACCTGTGGATCATCGAAATTTTCATGACTTCAAAGCATCATTTGTTCTTATCAGCAACATGCTTAGCACTGTTGTGTTAGATGTTCAGTACAACTTTGGAAGGTTTTCATTAACTGAGAAAGAAACATGACTTTAAAGAAAAGCGCCGGGGATCATCAGGGATTATACAAAAGCTGGAAAATGCGGTTCGTACAGCTTCTTGCTCCTGTTCAGCATGTTTATAGTGAAGGTAGGATTACTTACGGATAGGGCGACATGTCCTCCACCCAAGTGCCCGCTAAACACGACACTGGGGACAGGTGCCCTGCTGCCTTCAACAAAAGAGCCCTTCGCTTCCAACCTTTCAGCTTCTATATGCTAAGCCCCCATTCTTTTCTCAAATGTCAAGGTTCCATCTCTTTGGACTTCCCCCAGGGATTTGAGTACCAGAGCCTATTCATCTCATCTCTGTTTCTACCCTTTTTGTTAGCGGAGGAAATACCTCTGTGTTTCAGGCTACCATAGTGCCCGAGGCTTTTAAATCCTGGGTAAGATAGACATTACGTAACAATGTATACATTACGTTTTCTTCTGGTATTCAGAGCTCATTTAGGGGCACTGCGTGCGATACACCTGCGGCGCCTTTCGCCTAAGCAAAGCAGCGAATGGGGTAGATTTGCCAAGTGCTTAACGTATTGAGAAAATCATCAGAGTGCTATTAAAGACCACCGTAAGGAAAGGTCGCCTCCTCGCTTCAGTCAAAGTGCCCATAGATCTAAGCAATTAGGCGCATTTCAGCGCTTCAAAACCTTTCTACGCAGGAGCACTGACTGGACTGTGTACGCCCTTGTACACCCCGACTATGTCAGAGCCCAACGTACACCCCGACTATGCCAAAGCCCAACTGTTTTTTTTGAAAATCTACCTAACTGCTTTTTTGAAAATCTACGAGTATAGTGACCGATTTCTCACTCTGGAGAACATCTAGCGCAAGCGCACTTTCCCTTCTGCTCCCCTCTGCAGATAGGGTTCCCTCAACATGAAAGATTTGGAAGTTACAAATTTGTTCCAGAAGAAATTCTCTTGACACAGTTTCACCCCCTTTGCTTTCATCACAGTGACCACCTTTCCTTATGCTGACCTAATCAAATTTCTCCCAGCTCCCTAACTCGTGAGTTTTGAAAATGTCAAAGCTCAGAAATCCTATTCCCGAAGTTCTTCTAGTCGGGATGCCTACCGTTGCTCTGCAAGTGTTCTTCTCCACTTTTCTCGATTTACTTTTGGAGAGGACTCACCACGGTAAACCTTTCTTCCCTGCATTTCAAGGCTACCCATCCTAAGAGGTTGTTCTTTCCAGCTTTTTCCATTCAAAGCTTCAAATTCGTTTCCTCTTAAAGGCAGTGGCTCCAAAAAATTGCGACTGCGGGCTCACGACTACATGGCCTTCTGAACCAACTGAGTCCGGCACTGCGCTTGAAGGAGAGGTTAAAAATGTGCTTTTTTGGCGTTTCCGGGCATTGGAAATTGCTGTAGGGGCGGGGCGAGGGATTCACCCCAAGATGAGCAACCGGCTGCAGGAGACTGTAACTCCGGCGATTGCCTGGTCAGCCTAGGCAGCCATCGCGATAAGTTTGCCGCCAAAATAGGTAGAGTTGCAGTCTCCAGCGGCCAGTTCTCCTTTTGGGGTGAATCCCTCGCCCCGCCCCTCCAGCCATTTCAAGGCCCAGAAACGCCAAAAAAGCACTTTTTTGACTTTTCAAGCGCAGTACCGGACTCAGCTGGTCCAAAAAGCCATGTAGTAGTAGAAAGCCCGCAGTCGCAATTTTCCCGAGTCACTGCCTTCAAAAGTTTTTGCGGCCGAAATAGTAGTTATGACTGTCTTCTCCAAGTTTTTCTATTATTATTAAAGGCAGCGTCCAGGCAGATTTGGACCTATGGGGCTTTTACGTGGAAAGTACTTTTGGGGCCCTAACTAAGGCACTGCCCAAGCGGCAGCTCAGGTAGTGCTCTAATGGTTCAGATATTCCCCTCGAAACTGGCCCCCGCGAACGTATTCGCATGGATTCATGGCAGTTTCGCGCCAGGATCCACGCTTTGCGCCATGAATTCATGCGGTACACGGTCGCGGGGTCCAGTTTCGGGGGGAATATCTCAGCCATTGCAGCACTTCCTGGGCTGCCGCTTGGGCGGTGCCTTAATTGGGGCCCCAAAAGCACTTTCTACGTAAAAGCCCCATAGGTCCAGATCTGCCTGGACGCTGCCTTTAAGCTCGGAGCCCACTTCTTCCTCTTCTCAAGCTTATAACCAATGTTCCTAGAGCCCAATATGCATCTCCTCAGTCTTTGCTTCGCAAAGTGCCAGCGCTATGCGCTCGCGAAGCCTCCAGCGATGCGCGCGTTGCCTCACGCAGAATATTTCGCCTAATCCGGGATGAAATCAACTATAGGGGCGAAAAGCTCGCACTTACAGTTTTCCTAGCCACTGCCTTTGACATTTACCACCGCAGCGCAACTCATTTACTGCATTTGGTGCGCTAGTGCAGAAGCCTTAGGATTTTCAAAGGCGGCGCTAGGGAACCTTTCGATTTTAAACGAGTAAACAAGGGAATGAACGATAGACGAAGGGCGTGGCACCCGTGAAGAACGCTAGGATAGTAACCAGCTTTTCCATTGAGAGCACTGGTGTGGGGCAGGATTCGTTGCAGCACGTTCGAAAGGAAAGGAAACAAATTGGGAAATGCTCATCAGTCCATATCCTCGCAATTCGCTAAACCAAGGTTATGTTGTACAGCATCATTTGACCATTTATCATCATGCTAGTAAATTTAGTGAAATGTTCTCCGATATGGTCACTAAATCAGCACAATTACTTGCTTCAGTCCTTATGGAATCTAAAACTACCTCGTTCTCCCACAACTTTAATAGTTGGATGAGCGTTACCTGACGCGCATGTGCGTTGCAATTTCGCGATAGCCAGCAAACTAATTTGTAAAACTATCTCAACGCTACTGCTCAAAAAACTTACATGAAAGGGATTAGAGTAGAACTTGGAGATGCACTTCGTAAAGACAAATCAATCATTTTGAGACAAACTCGAACGTTTTCGTGCAGGAAAACATGTAAAATGTGTAGCTTTCCATAGAGATGTTATATGATTTGAATTCGATGCAAAAAATATGATATAAGATCGATGCAGAAAAGTGAAACATATATCCAAGCACTAACAATAAGTAGCAAACAAGAGACATCGAAACCCATCAAAGAAAAGGAAGAAATCTCGAAAAGAATTGTCAAAGTTAAGAGATGAACTCTCAAAGCACTCAAAAACTGATATCTCGCGGCTCAACTTCTTTAGATGTTCCGGCTGTCACTGCGGAACCGCCACGCGGTTTCCCGCTATGTGCACATTTTTGAATTGCGCTTACGATTCTTTATATATTAGATTGGCCACTTTCAAATATACATGCAAAGATAATCTTGTGAGGATGCAAAACATATGCGATAGCGCAGATGCCAGTGACAATTATCGTAGAACGAAGGCATCAGATTTTCTTCGAAAGAATGGGCAAGATTGTAGAGCAGGTTCGCCTCTATTAGTACAGATACTTTTCTTAGAGTAATCATCGGAAATGGAAATGCTACTTATTTATTAAGCGACGCAATAAATACCACAAAGATTTTGATAGTTTTTAGACCTACCGAGGAACACTACTCAAGCGATCACAACTCAAAAATGGACTACTACTGGCGACGAGCGCACTGCCTTAACGACAACCGAAGAGGGCGAGACGAAAACGCGAACACCGTGGACACCAGAGTATCCCACAACTGAAACCGTTGAAGAGAGCACAACCGATGATGGTGGCCGAACGAAAACGCGAACACCCTGGAGACCGCTGACACCAGAATATACAACTGAAACCGTTGAAGAGACCACAACCGATGATGGTGGCCGAACGACGACGCGAACACCGTGGAGACCAGTGACACCAGAATATCCAACAACTGAAACCGTTGAAGAGACCACAACCGATGATGGTGGCCGAACGAAGACGCGAACACCCTGGAGACCGCTGACACCAGAATATACAACTGAAACCGTTGAAGAGACCACAACCGATGATGGTGGCCGAACGAAGACGCGAACACCCTGGAGACCGCTGACACCAGAATATACAACTGAAACCGTTGAAGAGACCACAACCGATGATGGTGGCCGAACGAAGACGCGAACACCCTGGAGACCGCTGACACCAGAATATACAACTGAAACCGTGGAAGAGACCACAACCGATGATGGTGGCCGAACGAAGACGCGAACACCGTGGAGACCAGTGACACCAGAATATCCGACAACTGAAACCGTTGAAGAGACCACAACCGATGATGGTGGCCGAACGAAGACGCGAATACCGTGGAGACCAGTGACACCAGAATATCCGACAACTGAAACCGTTGAAGAGACCACAACCGATGATGGTGGCCGAACGAAGACGCGAACACCCTGGAGACCGCTGACACCAGAATATACAACTGAAACCGTTGAAGAGACCACAACCGATGATGGTGGCCGAACGAAGACGCGAACACCCTGGAGACCGCTGACACCAGAATATACAACTGAAACCGTGGAAGAGACCACAACCGATGATGGTGGCCGAACGAAGACGCGAACACCGTGGAGACCAGTGACACCAGAATATCCGACAACTGAAACCGTTGAAGAGACCACAACCGATGATGGTGGCCGAACGAAGACGCGAATACCGTGGAGACCAGTGACACCAGAATATCCGACAACTGAAACCGTTGAAGAGACCACAACCGATGATGGTGGCCGAACGAAGAGGCGAACACCATGGAGACCAGCGACACCAGAATATCCGACGACTGAAACCGTGGAAGAGACCACAACCGATGATGGTGGCCGAACGAAGACGCGAACACCCTGGAGACCGCTGACACCAGAATATACAACTGAAACCGTTGAAGAGACCACAACCGATGATGGTGGCCGAACGAAGACGCGAACACCCTGGAGACCGCTGACACCAGAATATACAACTGAAACCGTTGAAGAGACCACAACCGATGATGGTGGCCGAACAAAGACGCGAACACCCTGGAGACCGCTGACAGCAGAATATACAACTGAAACCGTGGAAGAGACCACAACCGATGATGGTGGCCGAACGAAGACGCGAACACCCTGGAGACCGCTGACACCAGAATATACAACTGAAACCGTTGAAGAGACCACAACCGATGATGGTGGCCGAACGAAGACGCGAACACCCTGGAGACCGCTGACACCAGAATATACAACTGAAACCGTGGAAGAGACCACAACCGATGATAGTGGCCGAACGAAGACGCGAACACCGTGGAGACCAGTGACACCAGAATATCCGACAACTGAAACCGTCGAAGAGACCACAACCGATGATGGTGGCCGAACGAAGACGCGAACACCGTGGAGACCAGTGACACCAGAATATCCGACAACTGAAATCGATGAAGAGACCACAACCGATGATGGTGAACGAACAAGAACGACACGACGATGGGAACTTGAAATCGAAGAGACGACCATTACGAAGAGCATGCCACCGATGACGGTGAACGAACAAGAACGACACGTTCTCACAGATCATGCTTCCACGCAATACTTCTACCAGATTTTCATTTTCATATTGCCTCTTTTCAAATCGTCTCTTGTTATCTAATGCATGCTCTATCACCAATAAAATTCCCGATCTTGAGCTTCTCCTCAATAGTCGTCCTTTTTGTGTAGTTATTACTGAAACTTGGTGTAAGCCCCAATTTTTACATGATGCCACCCTCAGTTTTTCTAATAATTATTGTGTTTATCGTTGCGATCGTGAAGGAAAACATCCTGGGGGTGGGGTAGCTACACTCTTTGCGTCCTGCCTGAAGCATTCGCTTATAGAAGCAAGATTTTACTGAATTCTGTCAATGTCTGGTCACTCAGGTTACATTTGCTAGCTGTGATATATATATATATATTAGGTTGATTCATAATTAATGCACGTTTTCTATACTTCAACTTTCAACCAAGATAATTCTTTTTTGAAAAGACATTTCTGGGCGCAATAAAAACTACTGTAACCACCAAATCAGTGGCTATATAACAGATACTTTTGCGTAACTGTAACTATTACAAGAAAGAAGTTCTGGCCTGAAGATTGCCAACAACTTTTTTCAGAAGCCTCTACTTTGAGAAAGCATAACTTATGTTGAAATAAAGTAGGATAAAGCAGACTTCACTCATCGTGTAGCCAAAGGTCTCTTGAGCAGTAATGCCAAGTTTGGATTTTACGGAAAATTTTTGAAAGAAAATATCGCGAAAAAGTCGAAAGTACTCACTTTTTTCTGGCATTTCGACGGGCTCAAAAATCGGTCAGTTTTGAGATTATTTCAATTTTCTTCGCTGGAAATTGGGAAAACCCTAGCGCTTTTCTACCATCAAATAAGCTAGGTCTACCCTTGCTGGATAGTGCAAAAAATCTGCAATCGCTTTTTGCTTCAAAGTTTTATATGGCACGGAAGGGCCGCGACAATCATTCAAGTTCGCAATTGAATTTCTTGGCTCAGAATCCATGGAAAATTTTGTTAAAGTAGCATCTTGTAGCACAAAGTTTCCCAATCCTTACGCATATTTTCTGAAATTATTACGGCTATTCCTCATGGATTTAGGGCAAAAAGAGAGAAAAGCAAAAATTTTTGGATTTGATCTCTTTCATTTGATGGCTCACAACTTTGGAATGAACGAAGATTTACAAAAGCGAAGACCGCATAAGAAACTATAAAAAACGCTCTTTTAGATAGTGCAGAAAGCTTACTAGGAAATTGATTACTCATCAAATACCAGCTCTTGGAAGAAGAGGTATGAAAAACGTGCATTAATTATGAATCAACCTGATATATATATATCAGTGGCGGTCCCAGGATTTCGGACCGGGGGGGGGGGGCGGAAAAATTTTTTTTTTCAAGTGAAGGTGCGTGGCGTTAGCCACGCACTCCGAAAAATTTTTAGGAGTACTCCTCAACATTTTTGCGGGTCCCCACCCCTAAAATCTGGAAAAAGGGGGCGTGGCGTCAGCCACGCCCCCAAAAATTTTTTTTATAAGGCTAATTTAAATTTTTAAAAATTTTAAAAATTATTTTTATTATTTATAAAAATAAACAAGTCGTTTGCACATTTTTATAATCCATACAGGTAAGTTTCAAAAATTTCGCGACCCATTCTGGCCCGCCCCCCCCCCCCGCTCCTCTCGGACCGCCACTGATATATATATATCATAGCTGTTTATAGAAGTCCGTCATGTAGTCTACATGCCCTTTGTGGCTTACTTGATTTTCTCGATCAATTTATGGTGCAACGATATAGAACTATTGCCTTGGGGGATTTCAATTTCCCACTTATAGACTGGGAAAATATGACCATCAGAGACAACATGTCCACAACTTCGCCGCCAAATTTCTTGACTTTTGTTTGGCGCAAGGCCTCTGCCCGCATGTAACTACTCCCACCCATGGGCTCAATATTCTTGATATTGTTCTAGTTGACGACCCAACTGTCGTTGATGGTGTCAGTGTTATGCCGCCGTTAGTACTTCAGACCATAGTATGGTCTGCCTGGAACTTGCCAGAAATTACTTTGATTTTGAGCCCAAAGGTGATTATCTAGATTTCCAGAATGCAAATTACACTAAGATTGTGCTTGAATTTAATTCGTATAATTGGCACCAGATCTTCGATTGTTGCGCAAGTTCAGATGAATGCTATGGACATTTTGTTTCTATTTGCCATCTACTTATACGTAAGTATGTACCACTTCGCAGAAAGCATGGCACTTATGTTAAGATACCTGATAAATTGCTCAAGATTAGTAAGAGAGTGGCTCATCTTTATCACTGTCGAACCTCACTGGGTACGCATAGGTACGCCTCGTTAGCTCGTAAACTCAAGCGGGAAATGGCCCGCGGGAGAAGCGCGAGCGAAAGTAGAATTGCCAGTTCGGGAAACTGTAGAGAATTTTACAGGTACTGTAAACACAGGTTGAAACTTTCGGATCGTACACCTAAAGTAGAATTGCCAGTTCGGGAAACTGTAGAGAATCTTACAGGTACTGTAACCACAGGTTGAAACTTTCGGATCTTACACCTAATCTCAGGGAAGGTGACAACATCTTACGTGAAGACCTGCAAAAAGCAGACCTTTTCGCAGACTACTTTGAAAATTTACAAAAGTTATCCCCCTACTTCCGTTACACTGCCCCCTAAGACTGATAAGCTACTTGACTGGGTCGTCATCACTACCGAAGTGGTTTATAACAAGCTTCGCAAATTGCCAAAAAGGAACTCCACCTCTTCAGACGGGATACCATACATCTTTTTAAAAAATGCCGCTCTGGTATTAGCTTCCCCTCTTACGATACTGTTCAACAGATTCCTCTTGAGGGGTAAGGTTCCGCAAATTTGGAAACTTGGGCTTGTCAAGCCCATCCACAAGAAGGGTCTTAAAACATTTGTTGGCAATTACCGCCCAATATGTTTGACTTGCTCAGTGTGTAAAGTTATGATGAGAATACTTTGTGAGGGTATCTTCAGATTCTTGAACTAAAATAAGCTACTCGCCAAGGCACAAAATGGCTTTCTTAGCAAGAGATCAACTATGTCTGCTCTCATGTCTTCGATAGATACTATAGATACTATAGATACTATAGATACTAGATACTATAGATACTATAGATAGATACTCGACTGCTGAATGCTTTGAGAATATAATTCGATCGGCATTTAGCCTTTGAAACAATCTCTGAAATGTAGGCATGGATGTCAAAGCCAGTATACATAACACCCAAATCACGAATTGAACAGGTACGATGTAGGATGGACCCATCAAGCGTGAACTCGACTATAGGTGGTTTCTGCCGAAAGTCATAACACAGGTCTTCTCCTTACAAGGAAATGGTCAGAAGTCGAAGTGGCCAAACCAAACAAGCTGTATTCCATTCGATGCAGTATAAAATGCTGACTTCGAATTAGTCTTTCTTATCTGCTTCCCGTTTCTGTGGACGAAGCTACAAGCGGTTTTATTGTGAAAAAATCACACATAAATACAGCGAATTTGAGCACACTGTTGCACTTTTAGCTCAGCTTCTTTCGTTAAAAATTCTATGTAGGCTAGCTGCATGTTTTGGCCCAGCATTAAGGCGAACGTGGCTCACCACGGCTAAATTTTCAATTTCACGCGTAATTTCTTAGCAAAATAATGGTCTTTAATGGCATGTAGCTTCGTCCACAGAAGCGGGAAGCAGATAAGAAAGACAGTTTCGAAGTCAGCGTTTTATACTGCATCGAATGGTATACAGCTTGTTTGGTTTGGCCACTTCGACTTCTGACCATTTCCTTGTTAGAAATATTTAGCTGCCATGTTGACGACCATGCAGCAAGCGCTATAGCTTCTTGTAAGAGAGCGGCATCATTTATGGTGTAGATTTTGGAATCGTCAGCGTAAATGGAACAGAAAGTGCCCACTGGGAGAGCGCCAGGAAGGTCATTTATGTATACAGTGCTGGCCAAAACTATAGATCCACTCTAAAAACTGTCGTAGTTCATCTGCTTTCCAACGAATAGGTCTGAAATTTGGTACAGCTGTGTGTTCAACAGTCTTCCATCAGTGACCGGAGCGAGTTTCGCTTTCGTTAAATTATTCAGGAAAAAATCAAAAATTTCGAAAAAACAGGCTCGAAGGTTGGCCAAAACTATAGATCCACCTGAAATTTCTGTCTGATAAAGTAATTCTCGGCTTCCAAAGTCTTTTGTGCATATACATAGTCAAAAGTCAAAGCAGTGGCTTTAGTCCAGCTGTGTCAAACCTTTATAAGAAGCGCTTATCTGCTTTTTTTTACTCAAAAATACTTTCATGCGTATTTTGTTCCCGAGAATGCGTTTTTATAAAGGATTCCGCACTTTTTTGACTGGTTTGAAAGTGATAGGGCTCCATCTATCTTATAGGTGCTAAGCAATGTGAGCAGTAGAAAAAATGTCGAGTTTTCGTATCCAAAGCGCACCCGACACAGACCTAACCGCAGGCCTGCGTTCAAATTTATGCCTTAAAACTCTTTCTGAAATGTTGTCATGAGTGACTGGAGTAATGGCATTGTTAGTATGTATGAGAGTCTGTATGCAGTGGTTGCAGATTTCTGCAGATCCTAGTATGCAGGCTAATAGAAGGCTTCATGCTGCAATAAGGGATTTGCAACAAGCCTTGAAGTTATTTCTGGTTCTGACCATAACGCTCATGCGAGTCACAAGGCAACATACAATACAGGGTGTATTCACTAGTTAGCAGCTAAATAAATAGTGGCAAAATTCGAGGAAGGTACCACTTGGTAAGTACTTAAAGATGGCCGAACACGCCGCAAGACTTATGCTTTGAAAAAGGATCAAAATGCGACTTCGCAAACAATCGTGGCTATAGTTTACAAACTTCTTTTCATGTAAATAATGGTAAATAATGCTTTTGCATTATTTTGAGCTTACAAAAATAGCGTACACCAATTTTGAAGGCAAAAGTTCGAGCGCACGCCTGCGGTTGGGTCTATGTCGGGTGCGCCTTGGATACGAAAACTCGAATTTTTTTCTACTGCTCACACTGCTAAGCATCTATAAGATAGATGAAGCCCTATCACTTTCAAACCAGTAAAAAAGTGCGGGATCCTCTATAAAAACACATTCTCGAGAATAAAATACGCATAAAAGTGTTTTTAAGTGAAAAAAGCAGATAAGCGTTTCTTATAGAGGTACGACACAGCTGGACTAAAGCCACTGCTTTGCTTTAAAGCCCGACTATGTATGTGCATTAGAAAATTTGGAAGCCGAGAATTACTTTAGCAGACAGAAATTTTAGGTGGATCTATTTTGGCCAACCTTCGAGCCTGTTTTTTTCGAAATTTTTGATTTTTTTCTTGAATAATCCAACGAAAGCGGGATCGTCTCCAGTCACTGATGGAAGCCTGTTGAACACACAGCTGTACCAAATCTCAGATCAATTCGTTGAGAAGCAGATGAACTACGACAGTTTTTAGAGTGGATCTATAGTTTTGGCCAGCACTGTATGAGAAACAGCAAGGGCTAAGGAGAGACCCTTGAGGTACACCGCTCGTGGTATTGTAGACACGTGAATTAGCCGTGTTGATGGTAACTGAATGTTGTCTACCATTGAGAAAGGAAATCAAAAATTTCACCCATGAACCTTGGATGCCATAGGCTCGGAGCTTAACAAGAAGCAGCGGTATAGAAATGGAGTCAGAAACTTTGCTGCAGTCCACAAAACATACAGAGACATATCGGTCTCGATCCACATCTCTAGCCAAAGCGGGACCGAAGACATGAGAGCAGACATAGTTGATCTCTTGCTAAGAAAGCCATTTTGTGCCTTGGCGAGTAGCTTATTTTAGTTCAAGAATCTGAAGATACCCTCACAAAGTATTCTCATCATAACTTTACACACTGAGCAAGTCAAACATATTGGGCGGTAATTGCCAACAAATGTTTTAAGACCCTTCTTGTGGATGGGCTTGACAAGCCCAAGTTTCCAAATTTGCGGAACCTTACCCCTCAAGAGGAATCTGTTGAACAGTATCGTAAGAGGGGAAGCTAATACCAGAGCGGCATTTTTTAAAAAGATGTATGGTATCCCGTCTGAAGAGGTGGAGTTCCTTTTTGGCAATTTGCGAAGCTTGTTATAAACCACTTCGGTAGTGATGACGACTCAGTCAAGTAGCTTATCAGTCTTAGGGGGCAGTGTAACGGAAGTAGGGGGATAACTTTTGTAAACCTTTTCAAAGTAGTCTGCGAAAAGGTCTGCTTTTTGCAGGTCTTCACGTAAGATGTTGTCACCTTCCCTGAGATTAGGTGTAAGATCCGAAAGTTTCAACCTGTGGTTACAGTACCTGTAAAATTCTTTACAGTTTCCCGAACTGGCAATTCTACTTTCACTGGCACTTCTCCAGCGGGCCATTTCCCGCTTGAGTTTACGAGCTAACGAGGTGTACCTATGCGTACCAATCGGATTCTAGCAATTTCTTCTGCGCTCAGGTTACTCTCGCTCAGAACGATAGAGGGGGAAAGACAGCGTCGATCTGAGGGAACAAAAAGGTTAAATGCGTAAAAACTAAGCCTCTTCGGCGTGCATCTGCCTTTGCGGCAAACATTATTTCACTTCTCAGTTTTTTGAATGAGAACATGACAGCTTAGATAAGATCTTTGTTTGGATATTTGCTTTATGGAAAGCGGTGGCTTAAAAGGTTTGTGGTACTCAAACCACTGCCCAAGTCCACTGTTCCTGAAATTCAGGACATGCGATTTTTGAAGATCTATTCAAACGACCATTGTTTCATTACTTGAGAGATTGAATGCAATTTGAAGATAGCACAAGGATGAGGTTTTCTGTAGGCCTGGGCTCACCGGGCTTTATGATCGCGTCATCATCGGTGTTATCTGCAAACAAAAACGAACCAAAAACGATGGTTTTCGTTGCAACACCATGCAATTGTAATAACTGTTCCGTAGATCTTATACTTTAATCTGTTTTATCTATAGCATAAATGCTCAAGGAACCCACGGGTGCTCAATCCCGCTGTGGGTGTGACTTCTAGGAATCCCTACACAAGAGATCAAGAATTTGCTTTAGCTGAAACTAGAGATTTGGCAGCAGAAGTAGTGTGCAGCTTCATCAAATTGACTGATCACAGGTGGTCTCGCCATGGGTACCCTGTAAATGGCAGCACGATGCTGTAGTTGAAAGTTGCAACGACTGCCAGATCTGTTCTATGGCGCGCTCCACGGCTAACGAGCCCCACGGCGTCTGCCGCTTACCGGATCTCGCTCGCGTCTCTTAGTCAGAGGATGAATGATAGAGATGTTGATCTGCCGGTTCCTGCTACGCGGAGGACATAATTGGAGATGTTGTTCTATCTGATATTCTATCGCATTTCTCTAATCTAATGCTTATGGCTGGACGCACTCCAAAAGACGTAAGTTCCCCCTAACTGCCGATTGGACCTACCTTTGCGGTGTTTTTAGGGACCGATACGATCATCTGTTCTAATCGTCTGCTGGAACGCATATGTTTTTGATATTGCTGCGCTAAGAGACGTTGTCGTAACTCTATGCATAGCTGTAAGTTCTGGTATCAACTAAAAATTGTCAACAGTTTATTTCATTTACAGGTTATCGGAGCAGCTCATCAACAGTCGGGTGTGGCATTCGCAAGTACAAAAAAAACTTCTGTGACCGTTTAGCCAATTTGGAACGGCTGTCCAACGATATGTGAACCAGTTGCTTCCAATTGATTGATTGATTTGTTTATTCAGTAACACATAAGACAGAAGCGAAAGTAAACCAAACAACACAACGATTTACCGAATAGTAATAATGGAAGAAACAACGCATAAAAACAAGTAAACAAATTTTAAGAAATCCTAAGATGATACCAGCATATTACGAGATTGGAGGTATTCAAACAAAAGAGAACAGAAGGATGCGGCAGAAGAATAGTTCAAAAGCTGGGGATCCAGACTATTCCAGGGCATCTGCACCCGTCCAATGAAGCTTTGCTTATGAGAAGAAAGTCTGGCTTTATCGACTTTAACTTTGAAGGAATGGCCTCTCGTACATTTGCTCGCTGTGGTTCTTCAAAAATGTCAAAAAGGTTGAGGTCAAGTTCGTTTTTGATGAGCTTATAGATGAATGCAAAATTCGCAAGAACTCTCCTGTCTTCCAGTGTAAGGGTTTGCAATTTTTTGATTCTGCCGAGATAAGACAATTCAAAAATGCCTTTTCTGGCGAAAATTCTATAAGTAAAAGACTTCTGAACTTTCTCTATAGCTTCAGTCTGTGGCCTACTTTGAGGAGACCACAGAGGCGAGCAGTATTCGAGTGTAGGTCTAACATGAGCAATAAACAGTTTAAAAAGCAGTATGGGCAAAAGCAGTAAGCAGTACTTGCAGCGTCTTCAAAAATCGCATGTCCTGAATTTCAGGAACAGTGGACTTGGGCAGTGATTTGAGTACCACAAACCTTTTGAGCCACCGCTCTCCATAAAGATATCCAAACAAAGATCTTATCTAAGCTGTCATGTTCTCATTCAAAAAACTGAGAAGTGAAATAATGTTTGCCGCAACAGGCAGATGCACGCCGAAGAGGCTTAGTTTTTACGCATTTAACCTTTTTGTTCCCTCAGATCGACGCTGTCTTTCCCCCTCTATCGTTCTGAGCGAGAGTAACCTGAGCGCAGAAGAAATTGCTAGAATCCGATTGGCTCTTTTATCCATCGCAGTTCTGTGCAGATTTTGACAGCGTTGTTGTGTTTCGTCGACTTAACAAATTGCTCTCGATTTTACACTCAGCGAACCAGAGGTCGTAATCATCATTGAACCTAAGGTAAATTCTACTTTGAGGTAAATTTTACCTCACGGTAAACTGTACCGTAAATTCTACCTTTGCCAACGTGCTATACAGTGACGTTTATCCCGACCACGCTGTGAGTCTAAGCGGTGCATAAAGTTTTTTTATTGCCAACAGAACTTTTGCTAGGACAAAATTTATTGCGAACTAGCTGGTGGCCCCGGTCTCGCCCGAGACTTCAAGTTAGTTAAGCCACAGAACTTGTAAACTTACGCCTCTAGATTTCTTCCAACATGCTCATAAAGCGCTTTCAGACTAATTGCCGCACCCTACCAACTTTAAGACTGAAATGGACTTTACCGCCCCTGCTTAAATGCTTATATGTAAAAATGATCGGTTGCCATGATGGCCCTTCATTTTTCTAGGTTTGAGCAAACAAATCAATAAATCGATAGAATGGCCCGGCGAATTGCAGCGGAAAGTAGCTCTAAACCACCGCCGGGGTCGAAAATGTACGTGTGCAAAGTTTCAGCCGGATCGGTTCAGTGGCGCGCGTTTCTATAACGAACGAACAACTAAACGAACATCCAGACATTGAGTTTTATATATATACTAGCGACCCTACGGGTCGCTAGCAAGTGGGTCGGGGCAGATACAATGTAAGGATAGTTGTGACTATAATTATTTTTAAATAAGTTTCCTACTCATTTTCTGAGAACTTTTTAGCGCAAAGCATTCTACAAAAGGAGAACTGCTCGAAGAAGTTATGATCTCCACAAATCATTCAGCATTTCTCGAAATTCCTGCTACAACCGTGCATGGAGAATATTATTTTTTCTCGTTTACCATGCTCTTTCTGCAAATTTCCCTCCTCACAGAGACATTCATATAAAAAAAAGAACCCCGCTTTTCTACCCTCTCAAAGAGAATTTCAAGTTCCATAAAAGATCATTAAGTAAGTAGCAGAACACCTATCGGTTTAAAGTAGATTTACACCCATAACAAATATGTGTACTACAAAAAACACTTTTTTCTCAGAATCAATTCCGACAGCAAAGAAATCAATCGTCTAAGAACTCTGTCAGAAAATCCTTCAATTTTTTCGCTGGAGTATGTAGCTTTACTACAAAAGGAGATCCCTCCGCAAAAAGCACGACTACTGAGCCAGCTAAAGATCGCCAACCATAAGAACTGCACAAACGTAAAATAATTTCCCTGTCCGATCAAATTGCCCTACGTGCCGCTTACAAACCAGTATTATCTTTAGCGACCCTACGGGCCGCTAGCAGTGGGTTGAGGCCAACACATTAGTGAGTCAAGGCTACACTTATTTGCACGCTAACAATAGGCTCTCGTTTTTCAAAGCGTCCAGTTTCCACAGTAAACAGTGGATACTACTAAACGATGACCTTCAAAACATAGACATTTGAAAAAGAACTATCTGTTTCATGTTGCAGCTTACGGTGAAACAAACGAGACTATTAAAAATATGCGGCGTTGTTTTTGAGCACCTATAGTCTGATCAAAGTTATATCGGGTTACCTATGGGTTATTCGGAAAGTTCTGCTTTTTTTTTCACAAACAAGGCTTCCTCAGCAAAGCGATCAAAATTCAAGCGCGCTCCCCTGAAGTTTAAGCAAGGGTACTATTGATACGGTACGGCTGAAAGTTCTAACAAAAGATTCAAGTTTCTTACAACTCCGAATTTCTGTCAAAAAACGAAGCCCCTTGAGCATCCTTCAGTTTTCTTACTAAACAAACAGAGACTATGATACTACAAAATCCATCCATGCATACAAATTTCTTTGATGCTGTGAGGTCTTCTTGTGAAAAGTGATAAGGCCTGCTCCCACTCGAAATCAAAAAGTGCAAGCATTTCATTCTAAGTTTTAAGAAATCCGGCCAGAAGTGAGGCGGAAACCCCTTTCTTGTTGATAGTCCAAACTGAAATTGTAAGAAATTCCCTCACTTTCAGACACCATTCCAAAGTGACCTTCCAGATTTCGCGGGACCCTTTAGATACCCTTTCATTCCTTTTGTGAGAAGTACCAATATTTTCTTCACAAGTTCTTTTTATAAAGAATACAGGATTCGTTTTCAAAATCCGTAAATGACCATGCAAAAAAAGCATCAAAAGCATCTTCAGCATCTTCATCAAAAGCAAAATGAAAAGGTCTTTGTAATGCAGTCTTGCCTCATAAACCACTGAATAGCGCTTTCCAGCAAAACCAAAGTTTACACTGCAATCCTGAGAGAAGTGAAATTTTTTTAAAGGATTTGACGATTTCCAAAAAACCAAGCTTGAAAAATTTCTTTCATAAAAGCATTCTACAGTAGAATTGTAATCGTAAAAGCATTCTACAGTCGGGTTGTCGAGACCGGAAATGCACTTCTCATTGTTAAGGACAAAAGCCGATTTTTCAGAGTAGTCAAAAAAAAATTTGCAAAAACTATATGCGAAAGATATTTCGTGTTCTGCTGCAATTATTATCAAGTCGTTTCTTCCAGCGAAACTGAGCTTTGCGTATTGCCAAAGTAGAATCTTCCAGAGTATTTAGTAAAAAATTATATCGAGTGCAAGAATTTCCTGCAAGACAATTTTGCAGTAAAAACCTTTGGGTTACCTTCAAGTACAAAAATCCATTGGAAGCATTCTCACCAAATTTAACAAAAATGTTTCCAAAGAAAACAGTCTCTTTGAGAATAGCTCGCAAATAAGTAGAAATCATTCCGTCTTTCATACCAGGCTCGAAAGGAGGTGGGAGGAGAGGAGCAACAGTAGGATTCCTCAAGGCACAAGAACCCAAGAGTATTTTCTTTTTTGGGTTTTACTGTGACCACCATTATTTTGAGGTAGTCCTGCCGCAAGTCCCTCTCCTTCCAGCCAGCAAGAATAAGTTCGCCCTGTTTTTTTTTCTTTCTAGGGGGCACAATGTAGTTGAATCCAAAAGCATTTTTCGGCAGATTTTGTAAATTGCTTAAATCTCGGGATTTTTCGGGGAGAAGTTGTGCCGCATTAAGTCCCTGGTCTTTTTTGACAGCGAGATCATGTTAGCTCTGTTTTGTTAGCTCTGTTAGCTCTGCTGTTTTCTTTTTAAGCAAAAGTAGGAATTTCTCAGTGAGAAAAAAAACCTAAAAGATTTTTCGACAGATCTCAAACATTGTCTGTAAAACCTTGGAACTTTGAAAATTTCGCACCCATAAAGTCCCTGCTCCCTTCCAAGGAGTCCATGTTCGCCGTGCTCTTTTCTTTTTGGGCAAAGTGGGAATTCCTCAATGAAAAAAAAACCTAAAATTTCTTTCGACAAATTTCAAAATTAGTTCGTAAAACTTGGACCTTCGAGAATTTCGCGCTCATAAAGTTTCTGGTCCCTTGTAAGGGGGACATGTTC